AAAAAAAAAAAAAAGAATTTCAGTGTATGGCTCATTCATTCAATAAGTATCTATTGTGCACTTACTCTGCTAAGCACCAGTAAGAGGCAAAAAGCAGGAGAATCTCTATAAAACTGGTAACCATATGTTTATAAAACTTGTAACCAACTATGTTTCTTTATGAGGTTTCAAGTTTGTATTCTTTAGAAATCTAATTGTATACTTGTCTTCTGTACATGAAATTTATTATTTTATCTGGCTATTCTTTGATTTTTAAATAATATTTTCCTGCCCAGTTTTGTTTTCTTGATAAAAATCAATTATCTGAGGTTTTGTTGAATATATTTTATATTCTCTTTTCTTACTATTAGCTACTCAAAATGACACCTTTAAAAATATGTTTAGGTCTACATGAATTTGATGCCTTGAAGGACCCTGAAGTGAATGAATTCCGAATAAAAATGCGCAAATTCAGCGAGGAAAAGATTCAGTCGCTTGTGGGATTATCTTGGATGGACTGGCTAAAGCAGACATATCCACCAGAGCATGAACCATCCATCCTTGAAAACTTAGAAGATAAGCTTTATGGAGGAAAGCTCATCGTGGCTGTTCATTTTGAAAGTTGTCAGGTAGTATAATATTATTTAAGGAATACTTCGTAATAAATCTCTGATTTTTACCTGAATGTAGCCCAAGTCTCAAAGAGTCTCTTAGTTTCCTAGTAAACACTATTACAAAGAACATTTTATATTTAACATGGAAATAAATTTAGAATTATGTGTAATAATCTGAAGTGACACATATTTTGCTCATGTTTGATTTTTTTGATGTAGTTGTTTGTCAGTCTAGGTCAGTAAACCTTACTGATCGAGGTCAGCAAACCTTACAGTTATCTGAATGTTCAGAGCAGTTTTACAAACTGGATTATGCTACTGTCTTTGTATCAGGTATGGACATTTATCATCTAGGGTCTGGCCTTATTTGTGTAGGAGTTGAAAGATACTTTGTTCTTCAATTACTATGATAACGACAGAAACCACCATATCAATAGCCATTTCATATTAAACACTAATACTATTCCAGGAACTATGAAAGGTATTTTTTATATATTTGCCACTTCTTACAACAAAGCTGTCCCGTGCTGTTATCTTCTACTCATTTCACAGTGAAGAAACTGAAAAGAAGAGAAGTTTGGTTATTTGTGCCAGGCCTCATAGCTGGTCAGTGGTAGAGCCAGAATTTTATCCAAGTGTTTTTGGTTTTATCCAGTCCTGCCTCCTTTCAAACATGTTACTAAATTTTTGTTAAGACAGTTGTGAAAAAAGGATCCTGCTTTCTGGAATTTTTACAAAGGAAGTTTATCTAAGGAACAAAAACCATTTGTCACTCTATCCTGAGCTATATAGAGATTAAAGTTCCATTTCAGCCAAGATTTGTATATCATAAAATGTCAAGATCAAATTTAAAATACTGTTTAGGGAATTCTGCATTGTTGGAAGATTTTGGAATTTTACTGTTGGAATTTTACTGTTAAAAGGTGACTAGAATTTAACTTGAAAACACTGGCTCAGTGTTTTCAAGATCAGTCTGAATTTCTAGATCAGTCTGAATTTCATTACATATGGGTCAAATCTCTACTGGACATACAGATTTTAATGTAATCATTATTGTAAGAAAGTGTATGAGGTCGGACAGTTAAGTTCACATACCTCATTGCTATGGTCACCTTCGAAGCACTCCCTTTGGGAAGCTATGCACCGATGCCAGGGCCTAGTCCACCCTGGAAAGCAATTTTGGAGCTCTTTTTCTGGAATGGCCATCAGACCTGTC